CGATAACCATCGGTAAATTACAAGCATCGATCTTCAACGAAAGTTCATTAAGAAATAAAGGCGACAAGGAATGGTCTGCAGGCCCATAGACGACGACAAACTCACAAAGAGTATTCTGAGCTTTATGAGAGAGAACAACACTGGCCCAAAAGATCCCATGATCAAAAGCAACAAAATCAAAAATATCTTTATTGGAGCCTATCAAGATCCCGCCAGAGTGCCCTGAAGCAGGTAAAAAGTTCCAATTAAATCTGTCCATGCCCACAATAGCAGAAAAGTCATTAGGGGAGAAGGATTCCTTGAAGGTTTCTACCAGCCCCACAAAGTCAATAGAGTTAGAACGAACCAGATCTTTAAGTTGACCACGGTGCCCCCTAGCACCGAACCCCCTAATATTCCAGAATAACGCCCTCATTTATAAGAAAGATTCTTGATCCGAAGGCTCGACCTGCAAGGGGCCACGCAGGGTTTAGCACGCTTATTGGTGCCCCTTTTAGACAAGTTGGATTGGGGTTGGCCACTACCAGCGCCCGCGTCCACGACCGGACCACTACTAGAAGCCCCTACCTGAGAGGCAACGGCCTCTTTGGCTTTGGCAATGGCAGCCTGAGCCATCTCGTTAGCCCGAATAATAGCAAGAAGAGAACTAGGAGAACCAACAGACGAATCAACCACCACCCCCACATCCGACATAATATTTAAAAGATGATCATCCGAAAGAGAAGGTAGAACCAACCGAACCGGAGAAGCAACAACAGAGGGAACGGGAGATGTACCTGGGGGAGGGAGATCCTTCGCCGCAGCCCGCTTTTCAGCCCGCTCCAGGACAGAAACACCTGAATTCGCCACCCGCCTTCCTTTGCGAGCCGTGGACACAGGGGATCGAATCGCAGGCGACCGCACAGCAGGAGAGCCAACATGGGGACCCGAACGGGACATAGATCCCAAATCTTGATCAAGACGCCGACAAACCCCCGTCATGGAGTGCTTCGAGCCCGATGAGTTCCGGCTCTTAGCCGAGAATTTGCGCACTGAGGATTTCTTCTTCCGGAGGGATTGGGATTCCACCACATCGCGAGCCGGGGAGGCCGGAAGATCTTCAATTCCCGATCGAGTGGGGGAGAGCGGGCGGACAGGAAGATTGGAGTAAGCACTAGAAACGGGGGTAGCAGAGCAGGGCGGGAACTTCGACATATCAGCACCAGCAGCAGGGACATTGGGAGCAGCAGACGGGATCACCGAATCATCACGAGGAGCAACACCAGAGGGAGCTTGGGATTGAAACAACTCACGTTCAGAATCTGCCAAACCATCCCATTCAGATTGGGTGAAGCGGAGGTTAGACCCATGGCTCTGATTAGAGCCACCCAGAGATCCGTCCCCCTCCTTATCATGCTTTTCCGAAGGGTTAGAAGGGGGAGGAGGGGAAGGTGGAGTTTGAAAAGCAGCCGCCCCTCCACCCGCACCCGAAGCTTAATACCATTTGGGAGAAGGGAAGATATCAATCGAGCCATAAACTCGTTCAGGATCCACACACCAAACCTTCATCCTAGCAGGGCCAACCTTGTTCAGAGAGTCTTCATCCACCTCGATGGGCTTCCCAATCAGAACCCCGAAAGACATGAGAAAAGCAGACGAACGGAGACCAGCAGGCAAATCGTCAATCAAAACCCAGACTTGAGAGAGAGGACCAACTGCCGTACCACTGCAAGAAGCCGCTTTAACAGAAACCACCAATTGACTGAGGGGCAAGGTGAATCTAGTGCATGAGGCAATCATCCGCAAACATTCTTTGGAGGGAAACACCACAGAGAACTCAAATTCAGATATCTGCACAACTTGCCAGTCCCATCCAGCCTCATCCCAAATGCGAAGCCCTTCCAGAAGAATTTGGGGCGAAATCTTTTGATCCTTGACCGTAACAATCGCAGCATTAGACAGAGCAGGTGCCACCTCCCGGACAGGCAGGTCACCGTCGAAAGCGAAAAAGGCGCAACCGGGGAGGCCCGAGCCGAACTGGATGACCGCGGGAGGTTTCTGCCTAGCCATGCAGTTGACCGTGAGGTGACCATCAGAGCGACAGATCAGGCAAAAAGGAGGGTTGGTGCAGCGAGACTGGAAATGGCCAGGCCTGTGACAAGTGAAGCAGGTGAGCGTCGAGGGGTTGTTATGGGAAGCAGAGGACGGGCGGGATTGCGGAAGCGATGGAGGAGGAGGAAGGATCCCATCCCCCATCCCCGGAAAAGGGGGCGCCCCAGAGGCCGGACCGGGCGGCCGACGCGCCGGCCCCGCGAAGGACCAAGGCGGCGCACGAGCACCAGCACCAACCCCAACCGAGCGAGGAGGAGGAGGGCGCGACGGAGCAGATGGACCACGGCCCACTCCCGGAGCAGGAAGGGAGGCAGAAGACAAAGAAACACCACCGCCAGAGGCCACCGCCGCCTCCCACGGGTCCAGCACCGGAGAGAGAGAATGGCCAGATCCAGAGCCCTGCGAGCCGTATCCGGGCACACCAACCCTCTCCGAGCGCTGCGACCACTCCGGACCCGAAGCCCGAGCCTCACGGTCACGAGCCACCTGCTCACGTGCCGCCTGTTCTGCCTCCAACTTGGAACGGAGCGAAGCCTCGAGCTCCAGATCCACCGCGGAGGAAGGGGAGTCCTCACGGCGTCGCTTGCAGCCCGAGAGCGCCTCGCAGGAAGAGCCCCGCGACTTGTCCATGGATAGCACCACAGCAAAAGGAAGAAGGAGGGGTGGAGGTGGGGAGGATCTAATGAGGCGACGAATGGGAAGACGGTGACGGCGCAGATCGGAAGTGGAAACCGGAAACCCTAACAAAGGGGAGGAAGAGCCGCGGGGGATCCATAAATAGCCCGTTCGAGCCGTGCCCACCTGGGCCCGACTCGCCACATGGGCCAAAGAAGGTTGAGGAGCAGGAACCCGGACGATGGGCCCAACTGGGCCGGACGGGACCAGAGGGGGGAAATCTGCCACCGACTAAAGAGGGGGAGGAGAGGCAGGCCCACTGGGCAACGGCAAACCGCAAGGCCCATCAAGCCCACCCGAGGGGACGTCCCGCGGCCCGATGGCCACCGCGGAGAAATCGAGATCTAGGTTACACGAAGCCACCAGCGACCCCGTTGTCGCCGCCGCCGGCGACGAGGCCGCCGCAGAGGCTGCAGGAGAGGGGGATGGGAGGCCACCAAGCTCCCCATCAGGCGCACTGCCCAGGACAACGAGATCAGGTGACGCAACAGCAAACTTACCAGACTTACGCCGCCGCCGAGAGATCCGAGTCCAGCCATCGACCGACGAGGACGCGGCCACCGACCGGCCCCGGCCACCAGGAGCGAACTTGCGGGGACGAGG